AAAAAAAAAATGGAGGTACATGTACGTACATAAGTACAACCTCGTTTAAATATCAATTCAAATTCAATTTTTATGTTTTGTGGCTTTCTGTTCTTATGCCGTTATGCATACATATGTACATATATAATGGTGGTGGCGTGGCTTGATATTAATATCATTAACAATTGTTAGCCGTTATACATACATACCTACGTGTATGTATGTAGATAGCGGTTGGTGGCGCGGCTGTACGCGAAAACCGTACAAAATGCTGGAACTTTCTTTAAAAATTTGCTGGTTACGTAAAAATGTGCTGTACATCTCGCACAATGCTGGAACTTTCTTAAAATGTGCCGTTTGCATAGAATTTATGCTGTACCTCGCGCAAAATGCTGTACGGTGCGTACCATACTCCACCGTTTAATGTAAAAATGATGTTAGGGTTTTTTTCCACCAACCGGAGCCACCACCAGCAACTTTACAGTGCTTTTAGCACTTTTTCATTTTGGAGCAGATTACGTGACTCTGCATCACGGTCGCCATGTTGCGCTCCCGCTTACCGTACAATGAAACTCCTTTAAAACGCCGGGTTACAGCTCCGGTTCCAACTGGGGCTCCGCTATGCACATGTATGGGTAGCAGCGCTACACATGGAGTTACAACACTCCGAGTTTGCACAGTAAAGAAATAGCTTAAATTTATAATACAAATAGTGTACACACGCGAGTACTACTTTCGATTTTAAAAATAAAAATACATAAGTGTTGCCATGTAAGCTGTTACCACATCGCGTGTAGTGCCATTACAGTAGAAAGGTATTTTCCCACTATTTTTATTAATGTGCTAAAAAAAATCATTCACCTCCCTTTTTTGAAATACCGACATATTTTTAGTTAACTTGGAATGACGTCCCTTCGTATTACATTTCTCTTTCATCCTTCGAATGAGTTAATTAGAAAAAGAAATAAAGAGGGTGACAAAATACCTTTGCAATGATACCTCACAAGTCTAAATCGTAATAAATAGTTATGGTTCAGTTAGTAAATTTTTTCTTATACCAATCTTTGAAAAAATTAAAAAACAGCATCAAAAATCTCATTACTACGGGTTGTAGGTGTTTTTTTTTGTGAACGTCTAGCCTGTGCGATAGTAAATTTTACACACAAAAATCAATATATTCGCGAACCCATGGGCCAAATATAGTAAAATTGCCTTTTTAGTTTTTCACGTCAGTAATTCAAAAATGATTTCAAAAATTCAGTGAAATTTCCTTAGAGTAGAAGTATGGGTTCCAAATTAAAGAGGAAATTCTGTGGAATTTGTGGGGGTTAAATTTTTCGGTGCCTAAGGACTGGTAAGTATTGAAAACGTCATTTTAAAATTTTATCCCTGAAATTTCGCAATATTTGTTTTTGAAAAAATTATGTGTTAAGGACTTATATAAACTCGGTAACATCGTCGAGTTTGGGCGTTCTAACTTTATCAGCTAAAAAAATTACCTATTTGTCCTTGTGAATCCAACAAATTTTATTTTTATTTTTTTAAATCTAAAGAAATTTACCCTTTCATTTCATATGTTTGAAATTACAAAGTTCTTTAAAATAAAGCCTGACGTCAGGGAGAAAAATAAAAATGCCACTTTAAATAATAAACTAGCCCATTTATTTATTATTTGTTTTATGGTGGGAGAGCTTCTCAAACAATATAGAAGCATTTTTTTCGATTTAAGTTGTTGAAAAGTAATGAACATCTAAGTCCCGGGACTAATCGTGGGATCTGGGGTTGTGAGAACGACATCCCGAAAATCTCGGGATCGTAAAAAACGAAAAGTTAACATCTCTAGTGCATACCGTTATGTATAATGTGCATGCCCAATTAAATATATAAAAAATTCATACAGTGGTCAAAAAATTATAGCCGAACCACTTTTTGCCAAGTTTTAACGTATTATTTTTTTGTCATTTTGTGCAATATTAAAAAAAAAACTTCGACAAACTCGTACAAATTTCGAGCTTTTTTAAAAATTCTAAAAAATCAACCGCGTTGTTAGCCATTTGAAACTTGTACTTTATTCTACTAGAATTCAATGGCCTACAAAACTGCATACTCAGAATCTAATTAAAAACTCCAAATTTTTACGAAAATTCGTTGCACATTTGTGCATTTTTATATTGGGCTATCGGTACAAAATAAAATAATTGGGACACATTTTTTTATAGTCACAAGTTTGGTACAATACAGCAATCTTGTATTGAAAAATATGAACAAATTATTTTTCGTGACTGGGATAAAGAAAAATGTTTGTGTATTCACACAACCGGGATACGATTTGCCCCGAATTTCGGCGAATTCCCAATCGTTTTAAACTGCCTTTAAGTTTGTATTAATACGGATATTGTTAAGGAATGAACCATAAACAACTAACCAAAATTAAATAACATCAAAAATAATATTTTAAAACTTGTCAAAATTTGGTGCGGCTATAATTTTTCCGACTATCGTACATAAGTTGACTATGATTACTCGGCCGTGCTATCATAGTAGAACAACGCCACTAATACATACTTGACTTACAAAAAGAAAACCTGCAGTCTAATGTACATAAATATATACATATGTATTGATTTACGTATTAAATAATTTGTTTGTCACTTGTTTTCTATTCAACATTTCTGTGAATTTTGGACATTCCCAAGATGGCCAAACGCTGCCAATTAATCGCAGACAGCGTGCCTACAACAATGGTACTCTCATTATAGAGCAACTTCAGCGACTAGAGGACGCGGGCACTTACACTTGCATGGCACAAAACAAACAGAAACAAACGTCGCGACGCAATGTGGAGATCCAAGTACTAGGTAAGAATATTGCATACATATCCCCAATTGTGTACACTTGGCCTAAAGCCAGTGTTGTCACTTCAGAAACCAAATTAGTGGTAGATTACACATTGCTACAAAAAAGTATATAGTAGAAATACCTGGGAAGTTATGTATATGTTCTGGTAAGTCTTTTCGAGTAAAACCAGAATCGAAATATGAAATTTGCCAAACATCCCCAAAATCTCGATTTACCGTTAAAAAACCGGTTTTTCGTACTTTTACGCACTTATAAGTCTGTAACTTAGTTCATTACGAATCGAGTTTTGGTTTATTGAGGTGAAAAAAGTAAAAAAAATGTGTTTTCTGGGTAAATACACACAGATCTCTTAAGGTTTCTTTATTCACATATATATCGTTCGAAAGGCCCAAGTTTCTTCTTTTTAAACCCGGCAATAAATTGAAACTCGGTTCGTAATGAACTAAGTTACAGGCATGAAAGTGCGCAAAAGTACGAAAAACCGGGTTTTAACGGTAAATCAAGATTTTGGGGGTGTTTGGCATATTTCATATTTTGATTCTTGTTTTACTCGAAAAGAAAATATACACAACTTCACAGGTATTTTTTAGTGTCGCACAGTGTTATTAATAACAAGTAAGAAAGTCTCAGTTCGGGTGGAGCCGAACATTAAATACCCGGCGCAAGTATTAACTATATGTTTTTTCACCTTTCCGAAAGCTACCGCTAGATGTTAAGGCGGGGTGTATCAATTTTGAGTAAATTAGCGTCCTTAAATTTCGAAATATTGAAGTTTCAAGCAGTTCTGAAATTTACCGTTATATGAAAAGCGGCCTCAATTTTAGTCCGATTTCAATAATTTTCAACGTTTTTCTTTTATGCGACAAGCACAATAACCATGCTGAGTTTGGTACAAATTGGTAGAACACTTACCGAGATACATATATGTGATCATAAGTGGGCGATGCCATGCCCATTTTCCAAAAGTTTATCATAAACGTATTTCTTGGTAAAGAATTGTTGCAAGCGTCAATTTTGAATAAATTAGCTTCAATATTTACTGATTTATCGAAGATTTTGTATTTCTCTAAATTACCGTTATATGGGATGTGGGCGTGGTTATTGTCAAATGTTTCAAATTTTCGGCCATTTAGTATGCTGTACCAAGACCAACAAATGTGCCAAGTTTGGAAGAAATTGGTGCAGCGGTTACCAAGATATACACATGTAACCATAAGTGGGCGTGGCTACGCCCATTTTCCAAAAATTTATAATATTCTTATTTTTTGTCTAAAAATTATTGTAAATATCAATTTTGAGTGAATTATCTTCAGTAGTTACTAAAATATCGCAGTTTTCGTATTTCTGGAAATTACCGTTATATGGGAAGTGGGCGTGGTTATAGTCCGATTTCGCCCATTTTCAATACCAACCTACCTTGGATTAAGGGAAACCTAGATGCCAAATTTCGTTGAGATATCTCAATTTTTGCTCGCGTTATCGTGTACACGGACGGACGGACAGACGGCCAGACGGACGGACAGACAGACATGGCTTAATCGATTTCGCTATTCATTCTGAGCATTTATGTATACACTTGTCTATATCTATCTCGTTTCGTTTTGGCTGTTACAAACAACCGTTATGTGAACAAAATTAATATACCCTTGTGCACAAGTGCGCTCGGGTATAAAAACAGTGGTAGATCCCTAACAAGGTGTGTTAGAATATTTGTAAACTTTTTATTCGTCGAATTACACTGTAGTAACCATAGGTCCTTTCAATAACTTTTCCAGTAAGTACTTGCGGCGAAAGTGTAAAAGAAAAATAGAGAGCAAGACAAAATTATCAGAAAAAGTTATTGAACGCAAAACTAATAAAAACTTGCTACTTAGGCCATTTTGACACTTTCTGACGGTTAAGTTTTGGCGCGTAATTTTCTTTTTAATTTTTAATAGTTCCCATCGTCATAAAAATAAAAAAATATACAATAGATTTAAATCTTTCATCCATATTTTCATTTCACTAATTATGTTTCATCAAATCTTCCTCTTAAACAGTTTGTTTCCATTTGAATTTGAAACATAACCTTACTTTTTGACTCCTGCAAAAATTTGCAGTTCTCTCGGGCTGTTACACTCTCGAATTCGCTCTCTCTTGTAAATATTTTGGGTTATTGAATGCATTTCCAGTAAAAACTTGCAAATTCCAGTGACAATTTGTAACAATTTTTTGATATTGGATGGACCTCATATATGTAATACATACCTCACGAAAAATGTCAACTTTTTGAGGTACTTAGGCGGGTTGGATACTTAAAAGAACCCGCTTAAGTACCTCGACGCGGGGACTTAAGCGAACATTATTGATGTAGTTACATCTTTTTGTTAACTTACATAAATATGTAAATCCTTAAATAAAATATGGACATTTAAGGAAGTATACGGAGTTTAAACCAAGACCGTAGCATTATTTAAGATTTTTCAATAAAAATACAGTTCATTCCCTAACAAATACCATATAAACCTAAGCTTAAGATTTTATACAACACTTAAAGAAAAAATTCACCCAAAATTTTAAATTTTTTTCTCTGAAGTGTTTTTTGATAGTACAGTTTTATAGCCCATTAAATTTTAGTGTAACAATGTGCTAGTTTCAAGTGGCTAAAAATTACCTTTGATTTTTATAATTCTTTTTCCGAAGGTGTGTAACGCTGCCACTGAATTTCAAATTTTTTAAATATTTAAAAGAATTTTAAAAGAGCACTTAAAATGGGAGTGCAATGGGGTATAGTTGTTGCGCTGGGTATGCATTTGCAGTTGCATGGCTATACTCAATCCCGACTCTTGCATCCTCGTTCACGCACTGTGGGCAACGTGAGCAACCCATGTGCGAGTTGCGGTAACCAATCCGAGTGGAGCCTTGGGTAACGGCAGAAAGAGAGGGAGCTTCGGTGGGGCCACTCCGAATTATTCGGTTTAAGGGCTCACTGAAGTCTGCAGCGTCTGTTCACCAGTAGGTGCGGCTGCAAGCGGGTGTCTGCTTGGAGCAAGCGGCTCGCTATATAAACGTGTAGTTGGTTGCGAAACCACCCCCGTCCCAGCAATGGGTTGTGCGCTGGGCTTGGGACCCGCCACGTAAAAACCACTTCCAGTGAAGAAGCAAGGCAAAGCCTCGGATGAGACCCCCCCTTATGATGACGACCACGGCAAATGTTTAAAGGACTACGATTTGAGGGCATGCACTTGGAATGTCCGGACCCTTCACGGGGAAGGTGCCTCTGCCCGGCTGGTTGATATCCTCGTAAGGACAAAAGCTGACATCACCGCCATCCAAGAAATGCGTTGGACGGGGCAAGGCAAACAATGTCTGGGGCCTTGCGACGTCTACTACAGCTGCCATGTAAAGGAGCGCAAATTCGGAGTTGGATTTGTGGTGGGAGAGAGACTCCGTCGCCGAGTACTGTCGTTCACCCCTGTGGACGAGCGTCTAACCACAATCCGCATCAAAGAGAGATTCTTCAATATCTCGCTTTTCTGCGCCCATGTCCCGACGGAAAAGAAGGATGGGGTATCCACGGATCTCTTCTATGAGCGCTGGGAGCGCACGTACGAGCGCTGCCCCCGTCATAATATCAAAATCGTGCTTGGCGACTTCAATGCCAGGGTGGGCAAGGATGGATCTTTGGCATAAAAAGATCCATAAAGCTACGTGGCTGTCTCCGGATGGAAAAACGAGAAACCAAATCGACCATATTGCGATAGACGGAAGGCACGCTTCCAGTGTTTTACGCACACTTCGAGGCCCAAACATCGGCTCGGACCACTATCTTGTTGCAGCCAAGATACGCACCCGCCTCTGTGCAGCAAAAAATGTGCGCCCAAATATGCAAGGAAAGCTTAACGTCGAAAAGCTGCAATCACAACAGACAGCCAGCGCTTTCGCTACTCGACTCTCACACCTGCTCTCAGAGAGCACTCTTCAACAAACCGACATATGCGAGCAGTGGAACCACATTTCCCGCTCATTAAGTACCGCCGCCGAAGAAGTAGTCGGATTTCAGCGAGCCCGAAAGAACAACTGGTACGATGAGGAGTGTCAGGAAGCTGCAGAGAAAAAAGATGCCGCCTACAGGGCCACGCTGCGATCGGGCGCAACGCGCGCTATGTGGGACCGCTATAGGGATCTGAAGAGGGAAGCGAGACGTATTTGCCGCAACAAGAAGAGAGAGGCAGAAATACGTGAGTGCGAAGAGCTTGAAATGCTGGCCGCGAAGAGCTTGAAATGCTCCGACAGGAAGAATGTTAGGCGACTTACGGAAGGTTTAAAGACCGGGGCGTACTCCTGTAAAAACAATAATGGCGACCTAGTAACTGATGTCCAGAGCGTACTTAAATTATGGAGGGAACACTTTTCCGCCCTACTAAATGGTAGCAGCACGGAAAGTTGTGGAGAAGAAGAACCCGAGCCCGCAGTCGATGATGACGGAGTCGACGTTCCACCGCCTGACTATGACGAGGTACGTATAGCAATAACGCGGCTGAAAAACAACAAAGCTGCTGGAGCTGACAGCCTGCCAGCTGAGCTATTCAAGTACGGCGGCGAGGAGTTGATAAGGTGCATGCATCAACTCTTGTGCAGAATATGGTCAGATGAACGCATGCCCGACGACTGGAATTTAAGTGTGCTCTGCCCAATCCACAAGAAAGGTGACCCCGCCATTCGCGCCAACTTCCGCTGGATCAGCCTTCTAAGCATAGGTTACAAGGTCTTATCGAGCGTTTTGTGTGAAAGACTGAAGACCACCGTCAATGAACTGATTGGGCCTTATCAGTGTGGCTTTAGACCTGGCAAATCCACCATAGACCAGGTATTCACAATACGCCAAATCTTGGAAAAGACCCGCGAAAAAAGGATCGACACTAACCACCTATTTGTCGACTTTACAGCCGCTTTTGACAGCACTAAAAGGAGTTGCCTATACGCCGCTATGTCTGAATTTGGCATCCCCTCAAAACTC